ACTAATCATTGTGCGGGCAGCTAGACTCATTTAATTTTCTCAGAAACCTTGTGAGCATGGAATTAGAAAGATCTGGGTCCCAGATCCTATTTTACCTCTTACTATGGGACTCTGGAGATGTGAACTACCTTCCCCAACTCTGGGAGATAATAATCATATCCACCTTAAAGGTTGTTGGGACAATTAAGTAAAATATTTCATCTATAGCAGTTGTCCCAGAACTTTTTTTTTTTTTTTTTTTTTTTCCATTTCAGTGCTGGGATGGAACCCAGGGCTGTAAGCATGCTAGGCAAGTGCTCTACCCCGACCCACATCCCCAGTCCAACCAGGACTTTTTTTTTTTTTTATTGGGTATGGAACTCAGGGGCACTCAACCACTGAGCCACATCCCCAGCCCTATTTTGTGTTTTATTTAGAGACAGGGTCTCCCTGAGTTGCTCAGTACCACACTAAATTGCTGAAGCTGGCTTTGAATTAACAATCCTCCTGCCTCAGCCTCCGGAGCTGCTGGGATTACGGGTATACGCCATGGCACCCAGCACCCTTCTTAAAACAGAGCTTAGGTACATAGTAACTGTTTGATAAATGTTAACAGTCAACATGTGCCAATACTTTGTACAATACTTTCATGGATTAATTTATTTATTCATGTATTCATAGAAAATTTTGGAATATTTATTACATAGCAATGACTGTTTTAAGTACTGGAAACAGGTAAACAGATAAAGGACAAGGGTTATAGCTCAGTTGGAAGAGTGCTTGCCTTGCATGCACAAGGCCCTGCGTTCAATCCCCAGCACCATAAATAAATAAATAAATAAAATTAAAAAAAAACCAATCAGATAAAAATCTGTAGGGAGAAGAGATAAAAGTAAAACATATAGTATTCTAGAGGGTGTTAAGTACGGAGAAAAAGTATCAAAGGAGAACAGAGTTGGAAGAAGAGCAGATAGATATACTGTGGTAGAAGTGGTCATGCTGCTGTTTTAAACAGCATGGCCAAAGATGGCTCTGATAAGTCGACATTTGAACAGGAAACTGGAAAAGGTGAGGGAGAGAATTATGTTGGTATTTTGGGGAAAAAAAAAAAAAAAAAACTTGCAGTTAACAGTGTGCAAAGGCCTGGGTGGTAGCCTATGTAGACAGTGTAGAAGGCAGAGTGGTAGAGGATAAGGTCAGAGAAGTAGCAGAAGGCCAGAGGACAGAGGGCTTTTAAGTCATTATAAAGACTTTTAGAGGAGGAAAAGGGGAAATACTAGGGGCAAAAAAGATTTTGCTTTTACCCTTAGTGAGAAGGGGAGCCAATGGAGGGTCCTGAGGACATATTTCAGAATGGAGGGAGGTTAAATAACTTTTCCAAGGTAGAATAGCTCCTAAGAGGGGGAAGCTGGAACTTCAGCTTCAAGGCTACACCTGCCTGTCCCTCTCAGGGGATTGAACCCAGGGGTACTGTACCACTGAGCTACATCCTCAGCCCTTTTTATTATTTATTTTAAATCCATATTTTATTTTATTAGCAGCACTGGGGATTGAACCCTGGGGCACTTTATGAGCTATATCCCCGGCCCCTTTTATTTATTTATTTTGAGATAGTGTATCCCTAAATTGCTGAGGCTGGCCTTGAATTTATGATCTCCTGCCCCAGTTTCTTTTTCTTCTTCTTCCTCTTCCTTCCTCCTCCTCCCTCCTCCCCCCTCTCCTCCTCCTCCCTCTCCTCCTCCTCCTCTTCTTCTTCTTCTTCTTTTGGTACCAGGGATTGAACACAGGGGCACTCAACCTCTGAGCCACATCCCCAGCCCTTTTGATTTTTTATATTGAGACAGGCTCTCTCTGAGTTGCATAAGGCCTAGCTAAATTGCTGAGGCTGTTTTTGAACTTGTGATCCTACTGCCTCAGCTTCCCAAGCTACTGGGGTTACTGGTGTGTGCCATGGTACCCGACCTGCCTCACTCAGCCTCTTGAGTAGCTGGGATTACAGGTGTGTACCACTGTACCAAGCTTGAAAGTAATTTTAAGTTAATTGTGCAAATGGCCTAAACTTTACTTCAAAAGTGACTTTATTAAAATTCAACTGAACAAAATATTAGGTATAGGTACCTAACTGATATGTAATATAAGGTATGCATTCATGAAGGTATTTTCTAGAAATAGGTTATCATTTTATTTTGAGGAATGCACTGTATTTCAAATGATTAATGTTCAAGTCAAGTAGAGTGGTACATGACTATAATCCCAGCAACTAAAGAGGCTGAGCCTGAGCAACTTAGTAAGATCCTATCTCAAAATAAAAGATAAAAAGTATTGGGGATGTAGCTTAGTGGTAAAGCACCCTTAGATTCAATTCCCAGTACAAAAAAAAAGAAAAAGAAAACAAAAAAAAAAAAAAAGGAAAAGAAAGAGAAATTGTTTTCCAGGAACTGAAAAGTATGAAAAATAACGAATGGCAAAAAAATAATGAAGATAAAATCTTTAAAATTATCCTCTGGGCGGGGATATATCTCAGTTGGTAGAGTGCTTGCCTTGAATGCACAAAGACCTGGATTCAATCCCCAGCACCACAAAAAAACAAACAAACAAACAAACAAAAAAACTCTAAAAATATGCTTCAAAAATCATGTGTGAAATTTGGTATCTTTGAAGAATCTTCGATAGTGGATAAAGTGATTATCACCTATTATAGACACAATTTGCTGAGACAAATTATAAGATGTAAAACTAAGATTCGGGGCTGAGGCTGTAGCTTAATGGCAGAGCACTTGCATGTGTGAGGCACTGGGTTCGATCCTTAGCACCACATAAAAATGAAACAAATAGGGCAAGGGTTGTGGCTCGGCAGTAGAGCACTTGCCTAGCACATGTGAGGCCCTGGGTTCAATTCTCAGCACCACATAAAAATAAATAAGTAAAATAAAGATATTGTGTCCAACTACAACTAAAAAATAAATACTTAAAAAAAATGAAACAAAAGCATGCTGTCCATCTACAACTAGAAAAACATTTAAAAAAAAAACATAAGATTTGGTTATAAATTCTGGGCACTGTGTGGAGTTTTGGGATATTGCATCAATTTTGATTTATATTGTAGAAAAAGTGCTGGAGGCTGGGTGCAGTAGCACACACCTGTAATCCCAGAGACAAAGACAGGGGTTGGGAGGTGGAGGTGGCGGGGTGCTGAGGCAGGAGGATCATGAATTCAAAGCCAGCCTCAGCAATTTAATGAGGCACTAAGCAACTCAGTGAGACCTTGTCTCTAAATAAAATACAAAATAGGGCTGGGGATGTGGCTTAGTCGAGTGCTCCTGAATTTAATCACCGGTACTCCCCCTCCAAAAAAATACTGGATTCCAATCTACAGGTACCTTAAGGGAAAACAGACTAACAAGTATCTTCTGAAATCTACAACATCAATGGAAAAAACAAGCAAGAAGGTCCTATGATTATTATAGAGTCAATATAAATAATGAAATTTTCATTGTAAAATGGTTAGATAATAAATGTGCCATTGTTGGAATGAACTATCATACAGTGGAACCACTTGGCAAAGTTCAGACATGGAAGAAAGAAAGAGCACAGCCAATGTACCTCAACCAAAGGTAATGGGTACCTTTAACAATTTCAATGATGATACAGATAAACACTATTGGTTGGTTTCCAAATATTCTACTTCTATTAGAGGTAAAAAATGGTATTGGCCTCCAGACACTCAATAATTGATGTGCATTGTAAATGCACGAATTATTCACAAATTTGGGAAAAAAGACAAGAAAGATCTCATAAATCTGCTGGATTTCAAGAGACATCTAAGCAAGGTGCAATGGCCACTGCCTGTAATTCCAGCAGCTTTGGAGGCTGAAGTAGGAGGATAAAAAGAGGCCAGCCTGGGCAATTTAGCAAGACCCTGTCTCAAAACCAAAAAATGTAAAGGACCGGAAAAATAGCTCAATGGTAGAGTGTCCCTGGTTCAATATCACTACTGGGGTGCAGGGAAGACATCTGCTTAGCATTCCAAAAACAATGCAATGAGAAACCACCAGGAAGAAGATCCAGACCTACTATTGTCCAAGATATCAGATTTGACATGATAAGTTAAATTATTCTCAAACAAGAACAAGAATGTCAAAACAAGCCATGTCATGGAAAACAGAAAACATATTGTCAAAAATGTAATGTAGGGTTGGGGATGTAGCTCAGTTGGTAGAGTGCTTGCCTCACATGCACAAGGCCCTGGGTTCAATCCCCAGCACACACACACACACAAAGTAATATAAGTATTTTGTTCTTTTCCACCAAAACAATTTTTTGTTTTGGTAGTGGGTACCAGGGATTGAACCCAGGGACATGCTTAATTAACCACTAAGCCACATCCCCAGCCCTTTTTATTTTTTGAGACAGGGTCTTGCTAAGTTGCTGAGGCTGGCTTTGAACTTGCCATCCTCCTGCTTCAGCCTTTGGAGTGGGCTGGGATCATAGGCATGTACCACTGGAAAGGGTCTTCCCACCAAAACTGAAAAGGTCATGAAAATAACTTTTTTGTGGGGCTGGGGTTGTGGCTCAGTAGCAGAGCACTTGCCTGGCATGTGTGAGGCACTGAGTTTGATCCTCAGCACCACATATAAATAAAAAAATAAAAAATAAAGGTACATCAACAACTAAAAAATATTTAAAGACAAAAAAAGAACTTTGTATATTGTATGCTGTATAAAAGGATATGGTATTTGCCCGATGTCTTATTTATAGGTTGGCTTATATATGTGAAAGATACCTCTAAACAGGGCATTATAGTATTTTCTTTTTTTTACACTGGGAATTGAACCCATAGTCACTCTACTACCAAGCTACTCCCCGACCCCCCTTTTTATTTTTTGATACAGGGTCTTGCTAAATTGCCAAGGTTGGCCTTGAACTTGCAATCCTTCTCTCTCAGCTGTCCCAGGAGCTGGAATATCAGGCATGCGCCAGCTGTATTTTCATTCTTAATAAGTTATATAAACTCTAGATTATCATTTCCAACCTAATTTAATGCATCGTTGTCAATTTCGTTGAAATATTATTCACAGAATTGAAATTTGAGGACTTAATGGGTTAAAGCTATGCTGTCACTGAACTTTAGCCTTCTTTATTTGGGCACGGATCTGACTTCATACAGAGAAACTGGGACGCTATGAAGTTATGTAGCTTGCCTAAGGCCACACAGCTGGTAAGTGACAGTTTACCAGCTGGATTGGAACCTTGGTCTGTCGGAGGATCCAGTCCAAGTTCCCAGCCCTACACCGCCTCCCTCAGGTGTCTGGACTGCAACTGATTTCTTGTCTGGAGGTTATTATGCTGCGAAAAGAGGCAAAACCAGAAGCCGTCTTGGCTTAGGGCAGCCAAATTCATTAAGAGGAGGCAGCTCCTGGATCTGAGGCACTGCAGGCATCTTTCCCAGGCACTCTGCGCAGAGAAAGAGAGAAAGTGAGTTTTAAAGTCGAGGTGGCCCCACAAGTCGGAGAGAGTGTCACGAGAAGGCAGCGGGTCAGGCTGGATCAGGAGCAGCAACTGCCACCCCCGCGGACCATTCCCCTCCCCATCCTACCTCACACCGACCTCGGGAGCGCGGCGCCCGGGCGCAAGCAGGAGGAGTGATGGGGCGGGGCTTTCGCGCCGCGCCCCCGTCACGTGACGAAATCATCATGGCGGCGGCCGGAGGCCTGCCAGGCTCCCGGAAGCAGGCTGTGAGGGGCGGGCGCGCTGCTGGAACCCGAGGGAAGCCAGAGCCAGAGCGGGGAGGGCGGCCCGGCGGCCTGGAGCCGGACGTGTCCGGAGTGTCCCCGCAGACCGGGACAGCAGGTGAGACCCAGGCCGAGCAAGGCGCGAGCAGGTGTGGTGGCTCTGGGCGGGGGCTAGGGGGCGCAGGGATGTGCTGGTGTCCTGGAGGAGGGGAAATCTAGGTGCACGCGCGTGACCATGAAGCAATACAAGAGGCTCGCGCGGGCGAGAGATGCATGGGAATATGTCGAGATACTGAGGGCAAAAATGGGCTTCTCAGCAAGAATGGAAGGTAACAGAGGAACTGCAGAAGCTGTTGTGGAAGAGGGTAGCAGCCCCTTTAGAATTTGCAGGACCTGGATTACTGTAGGGACTCCCTCTTTGCCATGCCTGGCAAGGGTGGGGCGAATGCTCAGGCCTCGCCCTCCTCTTACCTCTCCCTGCCCCACAGTGTCCTAGGAGACAGCTCTGGCGGGCCACTCCTCCCACCCACCCAACTGGTCCCTCCAGTCTGAGCTCTTGGGGGTAGGGTGGAGTTGGCAGGGGGGTTGGGTGGAGCTACCCTCTGCTTAGACACCCAGCCCCTTGACAGTGCTACCCGGATGTGACTCTCATCCTCCCCGCCCCCTTTTTCTCCCCAGGTCGTCCGGGGGCCCACCATGCTGGTGACTGCCTACCTGGCTTTTGTAGGCCTCCTGGCCTCTTGCCTGGGTTTGGAGCTGTCAAGATGCCGGGCTAAACCTCCTGGAAGGGCCTGCAGCAATCCCTCCTTCCTTCAGTTTCAACTGGACTTTTATCAGGTCTACTTCCTTGCCCTGGCAGCTGATTGGCTCCAGGCCCCCTACCTCTATAAACTCTACCAGCATTACCACTTCCTGGAGGGTCAAATTGCCATCCTCTATGTTTGTGGCCTTGCCTCAACAGTCCTCTTTGGCCTAGTGGCCTCCTCCCTTGTGGATTGGCTGGGTCGTAAGAAGTCTTGTGTCCTCTTCTCCCTCACTTACTCTCTATGCTGCTTAACCAAACTTTCTCAGGACTACTTTGTGCTGCTGGTGGGCCGAGCACTTGGTGGGTTGTCCACTGCCCTCCTCTTCTCAGCATTCGAGGCCTGGTACATCCATGAACACGTGGAGCGGCATGATTTCCCTGCCGAGTGGATCCCAGCTACCTTTGCCCGAGCTGCCTTCTGGAACCATGCACTGGCTGTAGTGGCAGGTGTGGCAGCTGAAGCTGTGGCTAGCTGGATGGGGTTGGGGCCTGTAGCACCTTTTGTGGCCGCCATCCCTCTGCTGGCTCTGGCTGGTGTCTTGGCCCTTCGCAACTGGGGAGAGAACTATGACCGGCAGCGTGCCTTCTCAAGGACTTGTGCTGGAGGCCTGCGCTGCCTCCTGTCGGACCGTCGTGTGCTGCTTTTGGGCACCATACAAGCCCTGTTTGAAAGTGTCATCTTTATCTTTGTCTTCCTCTGGACACCTGTTCTGGACCCACATGGGGCCCCACTGGGCATTGTCTTCTCCAGCTTCATGGCAGCTAGCCTGCTGGGTTCTTCCCTGTACCGCATCGCTACCTCCAAGAGGTACCACCTTCAACCCATGCACCTACTCTCCCTTGCTGTCCTCATCGTTGTCTTCTCTCTCTTCATGTTGACTTTCTCCACCAGCCCAGGCCAGGAGAGTCCAGTGGAGTCCTTCATTGCCTTCCTACTTATTGAGTTGGCCTGTGGTCTGTACTTTCCCAGTATGAGCTTCCTGCGGAGAAAGGTGATCCCTGAGACAGAGCAGGCTGGGGTACTCAACTGGTTCCGGGTGCCCCTACACTTACTGGCCTGTCTAGGGCTCCTTGTCCTCCATGACAGTGATCGAAAGACAGGCACTCGGAACATGTTCAGCATCTGCTCTGCTGTCATGGTGATGGCTCTGCTGGCAGTGGTGGGACTCTTCACCGTGGTAAGGCATGATGCTGAGCTTCGGGTACCCTCACCCACAGGGGAGCCCTATGCCCCTGAGCTCTAACCCTGTTCTAGTACAATGGGTCTGGGATGGACTCTGAATCCCACCTCTCCAGGGTTGTACAGATCTCACTGTGACTGTCCTGCAGCCGCTCCTGCCAGTGCTTTGTGTTGGGAAGAACATGGGGGTGATGGACTGGAAAGGTGCCAAAAGTTGACTCTGTTACTCCCTTTCCCCTTTCCATTTAAAAATAAACACTTTTAATGGATTATTGATTTGATTTACTCATCCTCACCTGTACCCATCTCAAATGTTTCTTTCTGGTGAGTGGGCAGCTGGAGGTTTTGAGATAAAGGTGGAATTGCCAGCAAAAGGTTTGTATTTCTAAATTCTTCAAGCTTACACCTCAAATTGAGAGCTGCTAAGATTGCTTTTCAGCAGAACTGGGCAGAAAGGACCTGAGGCTCCTATGTCTTGCACACCTCTCTTGTACAGGCACTATCCCCAGTTGCCAAATAGAACCTTTCTCTGAATCTTGGATGAGACAATCTCTGAAGCACATGGGGTAAATGCATAGTATTCCAGGCCACTGACAAGTCCAGGAGCTTGGTCTGCTGCTGTGACCACCCTTTAGTGCAAACCCAAAGCCATTCCTGCAGGAGTAAGCTTGCAGCTCCGCAGGTTCATGCTGCCAGCCTCTGCCTCTGGCTATAAATGTACCATTTGTTTGGCATCATCTGAGCCCATCAGGTTCTGTATCCCCACATGAAAACTAAGTAAAGGACTGAGGGACAAGGACATCTTGTCTGTACCTGACTTTTCCCCACCCAGCGTGACTGAGGGTGAGGAAGCATCAGGGCAGGAACAGTACCAGTGGGAACACCAGTTCTGTGGGTCCCTCCCTGCCTCACCTTTGATTGTATCTGCCCTTCCCCCTCCCACCCAAACCTGGGCTTCTCAGGATAAGCAGAGCTAGCTTTAAAAAGGGTAGGGATGGAGGGAGACTGGCTCAAGGGTATATCCTGGAATGTGTTTGAGATGGGCATGGGGGACCCACTTGTTCTAGAAAGGGGTTGAGGACCTTTGGGTGTCAGACTGCTTCCCAGACAGGAAGATTTGAGATGTTCCAAATCTTGCAGGTCTCAACCTGTGTGGAGAGATAGCATCGGCTGGTGCTTGAGGAATGTGGGGTGGAAGTGCTCCTGTAGGGTGAGGCTGGGGGAGAAATGGACAATGGACGGTGGTCTCAGGTCCAGAAAAATCACATGTTCCCCCATTCAAGCTACAGAGTTGAGGTTAAGAACAAAATACAGGTATCTTTCCCTCCCCCCATCATCTTGAGACTAAAGACAGTCTTACAATAACTCCATTTCCTCTTTCTGCCCTGTTGAGCTAGACCTTGATATATTTTAGTCAGTTATTTGTAGACTTTCCATCTCTGAAATCATACTATGATCTCGAAGGCACATGGAAACTCTCACTCATCTTTGAGATATATATGCTTTGTCCATGGCTGTGCTTAGTAGATGTCTGGAGAGGAGAGAGGCTAGCTTCTGCCTGATTTTTCAAGAGCTACCCATGTGGGAAGTCTATTAGACTAGAATATCTAGGGTCTAGTTAATGATTTGTTGTTTTAGATGATAATAATTATTTACTGTTGGAACTATGAGGGGGCCCCACATTCCTAAGTGATAAGGAAATAGGGGGAATAGGTGAGACAGACTAATGAGATTCCTTTAGCTTTGTCCCTACTAAGCTTGCTTCAAAGGGGCTGGTGGCAGAGTGTGAAGGGGTCTTTCATGTCAGACTTCTGTGTGCTAAGAGCTGAAAGACAGTGTAGGGATTGTCCATTCAGGCTTAAGCATATTTTTTTAAATGTTTTTTAGTTGTCCATGGACCTTTATTTTATTTATTTACTTATTTATATGTGATGCTGAGAATTTAACCCAGTGCCTCACGTACACTAGGCAAGCACTCTCCCACTGAGCTACAACTTCAGTCCTTAAGCATATTTTTTATTAAGCACCTACTATATGTCATGCATTGTATTGCTAGGTGCTGGTGCTTCCCCACAGCCCCAAGAGGAAAATCCACTTAAGTAAAGGAAGTGACTTGCCTAAGGGCATGTAGTAAATGAGTGGCAAAAGAGACTAAACCTTGCCTGTGGCAACTAGCCCAGTGCCCCATCTATAACACATGTTGCCTTTGTCCTGTGGGCCTTCACCTAACTGCCTTTAGCTTCTAGCCCTGCTCTCCCATCCCAAGCTCTGTCCCTGGAGATGAGCAAAAGAGTGGTCCTTGGCCAACTGATTCACTGTCCATATGGTACGCATGAGGGATTGGTTCACTAGGTATGCACCGCCCACAAATGCTGCACATGATGTTCTTCCTGAGGCAGCATAGGGAAGTGGTTAAGAGCTTGGTAAGATGCTGCTCAGTGGTGGAGCACTTGCCTAGTGTGCTTGAGGCCCTGGGTTCTATCTCCAGCACCAATGGTGGCGGGCAATGTATGGATCTGGACCAAACTGCCTGGTTTAAATCCAGCTCTACTCCTCTATGCCTCAGTTTTCTTATCTGTAAAGTGAGGAGGACAGTATAGTTTCTACCCTATAGGACTCTGGTGAAATTTAAATGTATTACTGTATTTAAGTGCTTAGAACAGTATTTGACCAGGCATGGTAGCATGTACCTATAATCCAAGTTGCTCTGATAGCAGAGGTGGGAGGGGAAATTGAGCCCATGGGTTTAAGTGCAGCCTGGGCAATTTACTGAGACCCTGTCTCAAAAAACAAACAAACAAACAGAACTTGGCCCACAGTATCAAGTACTACACAAGTAGTTTTACTTTCTTTTTATCTTAGTGCTAGCATTGAACCCAGAGCCTCATGCATGCGAAGCATGTGTTGTAACCCAGCTATATTCCTAGCCCCAATGTTTGCCTTTACATTTTATTCATTCATTTATTCATTTCTGGTACTGGGGATTGAATCCAGGGATGCTTAACCACTGAGCCACAGCCCAGCCATTTTTTTTTTGGGGGGGGGGTTACCAGGGATCGAACTCAGGGCACTCGACCCCTGAGCTACATCCCCAGCCCTATTTTGTATTTTATTTAGAGACAGGGTCTCACTGAGTTGCTTAGCGCCTCGCTTTTGCTGAGGCTGGCCTTGAACTCGTGATCCTCCTGCCTCAGTCTCCCCAGCCTCTGGGTTATAGCTATGCGCCACCTCACCTGGCCCCCAACCTTTTTAATTTATTTCTTTTTTTAAATTAATTTGTTCTAATTAGTTATACATGATAGCAGAATATATTTCAATTCATTGTACACAAATGGAGCACAACTTTTCATTTCTCTGGTTGTACAAGATGTAGTGTCACACCATATGTGCACTCACACATGTACATAGGGTAATAATGTCCATCTCATTCCACCGTCTTTCCTGCCTTGTCTTCATTTTGAGACAGGGACTCACCAAGTTGCTGAGGCTGGCCTCAAACTTGAGATCCTCCTGCCTTAGCCTTCTGAGTCACTGGGATCACAGGCATGAACCACCATGCCCTGCTATATTTTGTTTTCTAACTTTTCTAATTCAGTTGAGTATATCTGGATTGCGTGTGAGAGAGTGGATGGGGCTTTAATGGGGTATAGATCTTTCTAACACATACCAGTGGTTGGGGGATTCCCAACATGTTTATCTTTGGTCCTCGCCCAAATTAAAGTATCAGGCTATCTGAGAAACTTTCTACTTTGGATGTATGTGAGCAGCTGAATTGGGTGTCAGTATGTTCCACTTGAACTCATTTCCTCTTCCTCAAGAGGGAAGGTCAGTTTGGGGTCAAACCATCTTTCATTTTGAGGCTCATGATTTTCTGAATTCCCATCCAACTAGACTCATTATTTGATCTGTAGCTTTTAATTAGTCCTGAGGAAGGAAGAGAAACATCCCAAGAAACCAGGAGCCAATGAATGGGAAGCAGGGGGTCAGTCTTTTCTGGAAATTCAGTCCCTGGTCTGGGAGGGGAGGAGTAATTTCCATCTAGTAATGAGCTGGATCTAGGATCCATTCCCAAATTCTCTCCTTGTACCCTCAGTCCTATTATCCTCCCTATCTCTTTTATCCTTCCTTCCTTTTTCTTCTAGTACTCAAGATTGAAATTGAACCCAGGGCCCAGGGACAATTTAACCACTGAGTTATATCCCCAGACCCTTTTATTCTTTTTTTTTTTTTTTTGTAGTTCTGGGGATTGAACCCAGGGCCTTGTGCATGAGAGGCAAGCACTTTGTCAACTGAGCTACATCCCCAGCCCTATCATTTTTTTTTTTAACTTTATTTATTTGTTTATTTTATGTGGTGCTGGGGATCAAACCCAGTGCCTCACATGTACTAGGCAAGTGCTCTATCATTGAGCCACAACCCCTTTCCCTTTTCATTCTTTTATTTCTTTTTTGTACAGTGCTAAGGATTGATCCAGGGATTTGCACAGGCTAGTAGGCAAGTTCTGTATCACTGAACTGCACACTCAGCATGTTTTTTTGTTTTTTAATTTTCTACCATCACCTCCCAACAGAATCAGAGAACAGAAATACAAAACAAATAAAGGTTTCATGCTTAGGATCAGTTCTAATGTTATAAAAAACTTCACTTTTGGTTTAAAATTTTTTTAACAATAAAATTATATTATTTTTAAAAAATAATTTAATCTGGTGGACTAGACCTTAGACATTTAACAGTGGTGGTCTCTGATGAGTGGGATTAATGGAGCCTATCATTTTTTTTACATTCCAACCCCAGCCCTCAGGCAACATTTTATTCATTTATCTCTCTCTCTTCTCTTCTCTTCTCTCTCTCTCTCTCTCTTTGCAACACAATATTCTCATCAGTGACAGACCACATATATGACAATGGTCCCCTGAGACTATATCACCTAGAAACATTGTATCATTGTACCCATACTATCTTGTTTAAATTCTGTGATGTTCACACACACAATGATGAGATCAGCTACCAATACGTCTGCACTAATACTAAAGAACAATTCCCATTGTTAAGCAACACATAACAACATATTTGAATATGCTTATATTTATGCTATATTCATATATCTATATAGATATATACATTTAAAACATTTTTTTAGTTGTTGATGAACCTTTATTTTATTTGTTTTGTTTATATGTGGTACTGAGAATTTAACCTAGTGCTTCACACATATGTGGCAGATGCTCCACCACTGAGCCACAACCCCAGCCCTAGATATATACATTTTTAT